ACCCCCCAGCCCCGCTCCGGGCTCCCCGTCCCCACGGGACACAAACGTGTCCCGGCCACCTGAGCCCCCCGTGGCACCGCAGCTCCCTCCGAGCGCCCCGGCCTCCTCGGGCAGCCCCAAGGCCTCCCCTCGTCCCCAGCCACCGGAGCCCCCGCACAGCCCGGAGCCGGGACACGGCTGCCGAGCCCCGGGAATGTGGCCCGGGACCCCGCTCCAGCCCTGCGCCCCCCGCAGCGGCTGAACCGCATGGAGCCGCCGCCGCCAGGCGCCCAACGCAGCCCCGGTGCGGGGACCCGCGGGCACCGGGGCCTCCCTGCGCACCGGGCACCACGGCCGCTGCTCCCATTGAGCTCCCGCCTCGGTAATTCCCGGGTTTGGCCGCATTTTTGGCCCTGGTTGAGGCTCTCGCTCCACACACCCTCCCCGGACAACTCCCCGGTCGAGCCGCGTTGCTGGCCCGGGGCCCATCGCGCTGCATTTGCAGTTGCTTCCTCCTGCTCCCACCCCGCTCCGCGTTTCTTGGTGTTTCCTAGCAATGAATTTCACATTCCCTATCAAAATACCATCACAGAACGATCTTGGTATAGTCCCAACAGGAGATCAGCCCACCACAAGCAATTCCGTGCCATCAGCTGCCGTTCCCTTTTTATTTTTTGTTCCTGCTGCTCTACGTTTATGAACGCTTGAAGCAGCCCTGTCCTTGMAGACCTGTTTTGACCAACTCTGTGGCACCTTTTACCTGGTTGCTCACCCAAGCAAGGGCTCTCCACTCGGCATTTCCTTGAAGAAAGCCTCTCCCGTGCTATGGCAGAGGTCAGAGCGCTCACGTCACTCCTGCCCCAAGCCCAACCCCAGGGAGCCTGCTTCCCATTGCAAATCCCAAGCCCTTCTCTGGCTAAAGCTCCTGCCTCCAGCTCTTTGGTACCGGTATTTTCCCCCATGAGAATACTTGCATTCCGATGCTCAATGGGCTCCCCGCTCCAGTCGCTGCTGCTCCCGAATGACATAAAGTTCAAGATACCGGAGTCCCCTTCAGCAATTTTCTCCACGCTTGAGCAGCAGGTATTTAGCACACCCAAGTGCAAAGTCACACGCGTGAAACAAGGGCGCACGGGGCATGCCCACCTACTGCGGCCGCGCTACCGCTGCTGGCGGTGCGAGGGACCCCTCCTGGCCAGACCGTTTTTGGTAGCCTCGTGTCCTCAGAACGGGCCCGAGGCCAAGCAGGGGCTGGAGCTGCTCCCTGCCCGAGCCCTCACGCGTGTACGTGGCCGTGGTGCGGAGGGCAGGGTAAGGATCTCACAGAGGGAGGTTTCTCACAGCTAACGGATTTGAATCAAGGCAAAGCAGGGGTAAGACCCATGGCTGCAAAACAAGAGGATGAATCTGTCAACGCCGGAGATCCTCATTTTTAACAAGGAAAGTGATTGCCCTCTACTGCCAGCCCTGCAATCCTGGCGTTTCCATCCCGAAGGCGCCTCTGCCAGGGCGACAGGTTGAGCCGGTCCCGGGCGCCTCCGCCTTCGCTGCCGCGAGCAGCAGCGACGCACGGGCCGCGCGATCTGCACACACAAGACTTTACCCCTTGTCTTCTGACCAGGGCAGGGCCTGTCCTGCGGCCCCGTCACTAGGGCACAGAGATAAACCAAGATAAACCTCTCCCGTGTCAGCAAGGCTGCTGGCTCCAGCCCCCGGGCTCCCCACACGGGCACAGGGCAGCCCCCCAGCAAGCTGCTCCAGAGCTTGGAGAGGGGCACAGCCAGAGGGGCCATGTTTGCCCCCATGGCCTTCCCACGCCTAGCAGGGGGGTGCTGCTGCTGCCCCACGGAGCGGGCACGWGCAGCTCGGCCCCACGGCTGTCCCTGTGGGGCACAGGGAAGCGGCGCCAGCAGCACAGCAGACCTCGCCGCCGCCCCCGGATGGGATGAAAGCAAGTGGGACAGACAGCAAGGCTGGGTACAGGCTGTGCTAGACACAGAGCCAGGCCCCAGCACCAGCCCAACCATCTGCGCCCACAGCACAGAGATCCCAGGCACTGCCAAGGGCCCAACAAGAGGGACACAACCTGCAGCCTCTGCAGGAGGGGCCAGCAGAGCCTGGAGAGGCGGCACAGGGACATCTCCCCCCATCCAGGGGCGACAACCAGGAGATGGGAACACTTCCCTGACTCCAGCAGCCCTGCCACGGCCCCAGTCCCTATCCAGTCCAGGAGAGGTACGTACGTGATCCAACCCAGGGCTGCACCGTGGGTTAGGTGCTCCCCATGCCAAGGGGAGCAGTGAAGCAATGAAGATGCTGGCTGAAAGCCTGCTGTGGAAGCGCAAAACCTTGGCTCCTCGGCCCTTGAGGTRCTCTCCAGCTGCACGAGAGGTGTAAGGACAGCGCAGCTCGAGGCAGCGGGGATGCCCTCCGTCTCCGTGCTAAGCCACGTGGACAGGAGCCCAAGGGCCCAGCCCAGCTCGTGCTTCCAGTGTGTCCCATGCAGGGCAGTGCCAGGGCTGGCAGGAGCCAGCACGGGGCAGCCTCCTCCCCGCTCCAGCTGCCGGSCACCAGAGCAGGACGCCGTGTCCCCACGGCCCAGCGAGGGAGCCTGGTTAACCCAGGCACGTGYGGCAGCACCCGACAGGGCAGAGTCACCAGGCCGCTGGAGCAGAAGGGGACTTGGCCAGGGGCACACAGAGACCCCCTTCCAGGCACGAGGGCAGCCTAGATCAGCCTTTGCTCTTCCAAAGTCTCCCCACTTCCACATGCAGGGCA